CTAAATCCTTTTCTTCCCACAGTTGGTCAGCTTTTTGTAGGCAGGGATCACATGCTGGGAATCTTCAAACCCTTAGCAACTACAGAATGTCATGGTCAAAAGGTGTTGTTGAATTCCAGATGACTCCACATTTTGCTCATGGTAGGAAAGGAACTGCTGAAATTTTACTACGTGAGTCTCTTTGTTGCTTTGCTTTTCACTGAAAACTATCAGAAACGTATTACTTTCATTAAAGAGATTGTGTCAGAATTGTCTGTTAAAAAGGTACCACACACTCCCTTCATTTACCCTGGATGAGAGTGAATTCCAAGGCCTGAAAGTGTGATACTAAGAGGCAAAAAACAGATACACAAATTATACCATTTTGTGGCCAGGACCTAAAGAAGAGCAGGAAGCATATCTACTAAATAAAGTTAAACAAATGCTGCTTTTCCTTTTTGTGTTGTCTTTATATTCATCAGAGGCATTTTAATTCAAAATTTAGTTCTTACGTAATACAGGCCAATAATAGCTCTGAGAGGTTATTGCATGAAGATGGGTAGCTAACAAACCCCTTCCTCCTTTGTTTGCTTCTAAAAGGTGTAACCACCTTTCTAACAACTACAGCATTTTCCATGAAGTAGTTTTAATTTGGGTCACAGGTGGTGCACCTGCTATGTTCCAGGCCCTTGATGGTGACCAGCCATGGACAATAGTATCATGCTCCCTGATTCCAGGGGGTGTCAGAGGCCTTTGTGGGCAACCATATGGGGGGAAATGTTACTTTTTTTCTTAATCAATTATGAAGTTATCAGTTATTCATGTCTCAAAGCAGTGGCAAGTCATTAAGTCCCATTTTCTATGGGACTTAACATGTCTTGTCTTCGCCACAGTTAAATAGATCTCCTGTATACCACAGGAGCTCTCTTTCCCTGACACCAGGAGACAGCTACTGCCAGCCACTTGTTAAACATACATTGCCTTGGAAATGTACCGTGTGCCTGTCACCATAGCAACACCCTGAGAATGACCTCAGCAGCCACTCAAAATCATTTCTACAAAACCAATTATAGCTATAATTAACTCTCTGAATTTACTCTGCAATATAAATTTGTTCAGACCTTGTGTTTCTTTGTAAAAGGTTAAATGAATGGAATAATCCAACGTAAACTCATCCTCTCAATATTCCACCAGCATTTTCTCTCAGAATCTGAGATGCTTCAATGGAAAGTGCAGTGCAGTTAAGAGATTATTTCATTACCTTTTCTCAGAATGTGAGATTCAACAAATGAGGATGCTCTGGTCTTACTGAGCCAGGACTCCATTTCTAAGGAACAGAATGGGGTTTTCCCCCCAAGCAGATGTGAAATGCAGAGTGCTGGGGGTCCCTCTGTGTCCTGTAAACTCAGAGTAAGGGCACATGCGGGGCTGGGACTTTCACAGGCAGAGGCTCTTTACCCTGGCCTCTCCTTGACTGTGAAAAAGGCTGGTCTTTGTTGCCTGTAGGTTTGACCTGCTTTGCAAATTATCTGCAGCATACCTTTATTTCTGGTGTAGCTACTGAGTCTATCAGACCTTTCTCTAGTAGAAAATAGTTTGCATCTTTTGTTTCGAGCATTTGTTGTTTTGTTTTGTTTTGTTTTGTTTTTCTTGCCTTATATTGGGGTGTTTGGGTTGGGTCTGGTTTTGGTTCTAGATAATATATGTTGCAACTAGCAGGCCTTGACACAGTACCTTTCAGTATTTTTTGTTCCATTAGATTAACATTTTTCTCTAAGTAAAGTGAGCCTTTCTCTCCACCATCCAACTGAGGCAAAGTAAAGAGAATGTCAATCAAGAACTGCAGTTCATTTTCAAGTGAATCAGAAATGTATGGAATATCTTTAACAGCCATTCCCTTGCCATAAAAGCATGTCCATACCTGAGCAAGGAACAGATAGAACAGAGCCCAGCAAGCAGCAAGCACTCAGTAAAAGTTCATTGTTGTTATGCTGTTGTTGTTACTCTCTGTGAACCCCACTGACATTGAAAGGAGGCAAAAGAAAGGTAAAGAGGAAAAAAATATTCTTGCAAGAACAAATGTTTTAGATATTCAACTGACATCTCAGTAATGCCCAGCTCACAGAGCAACACTGCTAACAGTATTTTTAGGGCAGCTTCCCAGGGGTGTCCAGCCTTTTGGCATCTCTGGACAGCACTGGAAGAAGAAGAGTTATCTTGGTGCGCACATTAAGTATGTTGCACCATGAAATCACAAAAAACCTCATAATGTTTTAAGTAAATTTATGATTTTGTGTTGGGCCACATTCATAGCCATCCCTTGTAAGTGCTTTTCAATGACAGGTGGGTGCCCTGGTTTCATCTTACCTGAGCATGTTTATCAGGGAGCTCAGGTCTCTCTTCTGAATTGGAGAGAGACTAGCCAGGTCCTACTGTGCAGAGTGACAGATATTTACCCACTGCATGTGCTGGTTCTTTAAATTCTCCTGTGCAAATACGTGTTTATAAGTGGAGTGGCAGTGAGTAGTCTGTGTTGTTCATCTCTGAGAACAGAAAGTCAAGATCTTTCTTCACCACAGGAACACAACAGCACCTTGTGTACAAGAATTAGTCACCCTCTGTTCTGACTTCCCGTGTATTGAGTTAAATGAGTAGAAATGGTTTATTGGGCAGCATATTTCTGAGCAAACTTGGCATTGTAAATTAGAAGTTTTCTGGTTCCTCTGAGTTAAATTTCTGTATATAGTAGTTTAAAGAAATGATGATCTTGTAGGTTTCAAAATGTGCATTCTTTTCAAGTTTTTTAACTTAAGGAGCTGATAAATCAGAAAAACTCATCAATACAAATTAGCCAGCTGATTGTGCATTTGTGCTGTGGTGGTCTGATTTATATGTAGATTGAGACACAGACCAGCTCCAGAACATGGCTTGTTAACCCTACTGGGCAACTCCAAGGCTATGCCAAGATACTGACCAAAAGTTGGGGTCCAGTACATTTTCATATTTCCTTCCTGCTTCTCATGCCCATATTTTCCCAGCCTGTTCCCTTATTTATCTTCCAGCCATTATTGTCTTTAATAATAATTAAAGATAGGCTGGTTTTGATCAGCCAGTAGAGAGCTAATTGCCAGTTGGAGAATCATTCATGTGTTTGGGATAAGGCCACTAGAATACTAATGAGTTGATTTGGTGTAGGAATTTCTAGGCTGATATGTTTTTGTCTTAAAGAATCGATAGGCCTCAAAATAGGCCTTTATTGGTTTTATTTCTTTGTTAAAGTCAGACTTAGCTCTACTACTTTAGGATCTAATGAATCTTAGAGACTTAATGCAACATTTCTTTCAACACCGGTGTTAAATTTAATAATATAATATGAAAAAACACTACTAATACAAATGGTATTTAAATAGCGCTAAAATGAAATCTCAACACAGGAAACCTATCCATGCATCCATGCGACCAACAGATATCACCGAGTACATTTTGCCAGGCACCCTGTAGGCACTAAGGCAGGAGTAATGACGAGTGAGACCAAGTCCTCACTGTAGGTCACAGTGATGGAATGTTTGTGTTCGCTGAGTTACAACAAACACAAACTGTCTGTAAAATATCTGTACGAGACATTTCCTGTTACACATCTCAGAACTCACTGTCTCTTATCTATGCGCATAAAGGTGTTGCCATCTAACCCCTTTCAGTTCTATTAATGACTCTATCTTTTCTTTAAATCTCATTCACATGTTAAGTGCTCCGTGTTTACACCTTGTAGTTGTGTTCTGAACCCATATCCATGCTCCACCCCATGGGCAGGGAGCACTGTGACTCTTTGAGTCATGAAGCTGCTGCGCAGAGCAGTCGTTTTCACCCGTGTGTCATCAGTTACATCAAATTAGGTCATTCTCAAGGTTGCAGATTATTTTTCACACTTTGAAAGAATGAAAAGTGAATGGAAGACAATGTTTTTAAAATGCCAAAATTGTGCTGGTGGAGAACATATGTGCTGTCAGGGGCCAGGGCTGGGATGGGTAACACGGGGCAGTTCCTTTGTGGTGATAAGATTTTGTGTCCGGGTTGTGGTGGTGACTGCACACATCTCTACATGTGATAAAGTCTCATACAGCTATGTGCCCCCAAAATGTGTGTGTGTGTGTGTGTGTGTGTGTGTGTGTAAAAACTGGTGAAATCTAGGTAAGATCTGTAGTTCAGTTAATAGTGCTGGTTCAATGTCAGTTTCCTCATTTTGATGATGTACTGTGGGAGCTTAAGATGTTACCATTGAGGGGAGCTGGGTGCAGGGTAGAGGAGATTTCTCTGTAATATTGTTGCAGCATCTTGTGAGTCTAAAATTATTTAAAAATCAAATAATGTGTTTTTCTCCAAAGGAATAGATAAATATAATATAAGCCGATACATTTAAAGTTTAGGGGTGGTGATCCTAAACACAGGGAATATGTGACCTCAGACATTGTTACCTCAGTAGCTGCTAATCTCGTGGCTCGAGAATCGTGAACAACTTAGACTTTAAACAGAATTCAGGATATGGTGTCCTGTGTTCGCTCTTAGAAGAGGGAGATATATTCCAGGAAGACGCTATGATGTTCTGCAAAAGGAAGAAAAACAAAAAGGCTTTCGGATGTGATGTGTAATTCTTACCTGTTTATTTATACAAGCCTTATTTGTATAAATAATTCAAAAACTGTTTGACCTTCTAAGTAAGTGGAGGGTAGAAGACTTATTTGATTTATTTTCTTCTCCCCATTTCCTCTTGTATGGGTTATAATTGACAGTAAGAGAGGAAATAAAAAACATAGTGAAACCAGGTAATCCACAGACAGGTAACCTTGCTCTGACCAGTGGAAAGTTGACTTTGACTTTTGAGTTCCCAGACTTCTTTGCCACTTTCTGATATCTTTCTTTCTATTCTTCACTTCTCTCTTACGATTCATTTTTGTACTTCTCTTTCCGCAGGCAGGTGTGGTGCAACAGTGTCACTGACAGTCTCATTGTTTTCCCTCCTTTAGCTATCTCAATGACTTGGACCGCGTTGCCGACCCCGCCTACCTGCCTACGCAACAAGATGTGCTTAGAGTTCGAGTCCCCACCACAGGGATCATCGAATACCCCTTTGACTTACAAAGTGTCATTTTCAGGTAGTAACTGAGTCCGTACAACCCGCTTTTGAGCTCTTTTGCCTTGTGTACATTTGATGAACTCTATAAATATCGAAATCATATGTAGGCTTTAAAACAGTATCACCTTACACCAATTGTCATTAGATACACAGATGAAGTAATGTGGTCCTGAAAGAGGAAGCAGAGGAAAGATGTATGGGCAGGTTTCTCATTTCAGATTAAATCACCAGGGAATCAATGAAATCTTTGTTTGCTGATGGTTAAACAAAATCAGTTACTCTAACATTAGTACTGATTATAATTTTTGAGGAATCACTTTACCTATGAGGACAGTGGATATATTTTTAGATTTATGTAAGAAATGAATGATCCTATGACCCTATTAATAATAGAAATTATATGTTGATGGAAGCTTTCAGGTCATTTTTCCTTCAAGTCCTGTGGAACCAATGCAAAAATTTCAGTAGCAGTAAAACTATGGGATGCTTTGTGTTCCTAAGATAAGTTGCTTGAAATTTTTCAAAACACATGGTTTTGAATATGGATTGATTAACCTAGTCTAAGTTTATGTAGGAAAACAGAGTGAAAATATATTACTTCCTCCCTCACAGCTGCTATTCCAAGTAATATTTAAGCAGAGGTATTGTCTTTTTTTTTTAAGGTGAGGAAAAAGTAAACAATACTGATTACTTTCATTTAATCTTTTACTACACCATCACTCAGTTGCACTTTTAGTGAGAATACAAGCTGCAGGGTGCTTTAAGAAATGGAGACAGAGCAGGGAGAGTTGAGTTCCTCTTTAGTTGAGTCCCAGTGAAGAAAAACTATGTACAAAAAGAGGCAAAAAAAAAAAAGAAAGAAAGAAAAACTACATACAATACAGGGTTGGGTAGCATGAGTCTCACTCTTTCTATGTAGCTCTGCCCTGTGACCACGGTGAGTGGCCCCTGGTCCTTCCCTGCCAAAGCACCGTGTGTCTCATTGTAATCCTTCTCTGCACCCGGGGTTGCAGCTGGCTGCCATACACTGCTTTCTAATAGGCATACCCAACAACAGGCGGTAACATTTTGGAAATAATTCTGAGCCTCAGTTTTTTCTCCTGTTATAAATAGTTGCATTAGATGATCACTAGGGTTCCTTATATCTTCAGCATTCTGGATTACTTAAATTTTGAGTTCATAGCATTTAGAGATCTTTAATTTGAGACACCTAAATTTTCTTCCTCTTAAAACCATATTACAGAATATTACTGAAGTTTTACAGAATATTTTCAGAAAACATACAGCATGTCATGGAGATTTTCATCTCTCTTATTTTATAAGTAGTGACCTGTGAAACCAGGTTACTGTTACATCTTATTTTTTTCTCTGTTGTGTGCACCAGCTTTTAAAGGACATTTTTGCCTCTACAACAATAGTGACTTAGAAAAATAACTTCCCACCACCATCAAAAGTGTGTTGTAGAGATTAGTGTGACAGGATTTCATGGAATGAGCATTTTATATAAATGAGTTGCATACTCTTCACTCAGCATCAGGGAAGAGCTAGCATTTTAATTTTTGAATTCTAGTTTTGATGTCCATACTTCATAAGTCTCCCTGGGTCCATTGTTTTACCTCTCAGATACCTCTTCCATGCCTTAGAATACTATTAGAAGCAGTCACCTGGAAGAACCTGGATTTCTTAGTGTAGGTTTAAGGCTTAGAGGCAGGAGAACAGCAGAATCAACTGCAGTTTTCAACAAATGCTTACAGAGCCTTACACAGACTTTTGTACCCAAGACTCTCATTTTCTGAAAGTATTTTAACCTGTGAACATCCTGCACATTTTCACTGAGATATGGAACAACAGTTTGAAGAAACTTAGATTTAGTGCCAAGAACTACTAGGTTATTTTCATGTATACATTATCACTCAAATTGATTGATATCAGTATTGGTTCCTGAGTAGTAACTCAGTGTTAAAAACAAATCCTTGAAATAGTTCATGTGATGGCCTCTTGTAGCACATACGGTATTTATCGAAGGTTAGCAAGCTGTTTTGTGCAACAGGCTAATTGCATCTGTGTTACCCAATATGACTGGACCCAATATAATTATTGTCAATACTGGGGGGAAACAGCCCATAATGCTTACCCTACTGATAAAGGTTCAAGGTAATTGTGTTTGGATTTAGTTGAAGCATTACACACAACCATATTGAAATACATAGTATCTTCCGTCTTTTAAATGTGTTTGCAGTCATTCTAGCATCTTTGAGAAATGTATGAGGATCATCATCCTCATTCTATAGGAACACAAACTGACTGAAGCCAGTATTTTCCATTAGAGCTTAATACAAATAAAACTCATTTTGTTTATTCTTCAATGTTTGATTTAAAAAGACACCATTTTGCTTGGCGCAGCACAGGATTATTTTTTACAAAGTTGAAGTTTTCGTACACATCTAGTAACTTGCTGATAACTACAGTGATTTATTACCCAGAATGACTTGACTTTGATTGTTAGGTAACAGAAAATTAGTAGATGTTCTATAAGTATTAATTGAATTTACTTGGGTGATCATTCTTTTTAGAAAATATTTTTCCTAAGTTTGTAAGTAAAGCTATGTTTATGTTGATTTTTTCTTTTCATGCTATTAATATGAATATTGTTAACCTTGCAGAATGGTCGATGTAGGGGGCCAAAGATCAGAGAGAAGAAAATGGATACACTGCTTTGAAAATGTCACCTCTATCATGTTTCTAGTAGCGCTTAGTGAATATGATCAAGTTCTCGTGGAATCGGACAATGAGGTGAGTGCTCATTGGACTGGCAGTGGTTTGTCATTTTAATATCGGATACAAAAATAAATGATAGGAAGTAGGGTGTGGGGTATGGAGTTAACTGACTTCATTGCTTTCTTGACTGATTATTGGGGGATTTTAAAATGAACCAAAAATAGCTTGTATGGTACACATGGTGCACTCAGAAAGAAAGGTAAGCTCTTTTGTCAGATGTATGAGCAGATCTGTGTGTTCAGGTCTAATTAGATGCAATTTAGTACTTTTAACATTCTGCAGAGGCTCTGAAAATGAAAATAACAGAAGTCTTAGGCTAATCATCAGATCGTTTGGTAGCCTTCTTCCTGCAGGCTGGAGTCGGGGAGTGGTGGAATGAGTCAGCCTGTTGTGTTTTGTTTCCGTTTTGTCTAGATCGTTGTTTGTGTGCTGGGTGGGTCCCAAAGAGTACTGAAAACTCAAAACCTCTCTTGGCAGAAGTGAGTGACTTTGCAGCTGGGCCCTAAATCAGTTCATTGTGGAGCCATGAAGTGTCTTGGTGATGTGGCCTTTCTGCTATTAAAGAATTCTACATGCTATTGCATAACTTTGTCTCTACTGATCAGTGAGTGAGTGGTAGACCTGTCTGGAGAACTGATTCATTAATACAAGTTCCTCCCCATTGAATGGAAATTTAATAGGTATAGATATGGATTTCGAGGATAATAAAGGCTTGGTAATGAGTCAGAGTTGATTAGAGAGTATAATTAAAGGGCGTAGAAAACTGACTTTGAGCTGGAATTCAGTGTAGTGTTGGAGAAACAGAGAAGATATCATTGATACCCTGGCAGAGGCAAAGATGCAGATTGACATGCCAATAGTTCAAGTATTAAATATCCTTCTAATAGCGTAGGAAATAAAGAGAAGGATGTGAGATATCGCTAAAGCTGATTAAAATAAAATGTGGCATATTCAGATGTACTTTTATTGCTGTGTATCTGTTAGGTATACAAGAATTCTGGCTTCTTGGTTCTTTTAAGTACTTCATTTTTCTATAAGAGTTAATCTCCATTAACATACACATCTAATCCTCCATAGTATTTCTTTTGTATGTAGAATTTGTATGTAGATTGATAAAGAGTTCATGACACATTATTTCATATAGAGCCGATTCATACATTTCAGAATCTTTCCTGGGTGCAAGTGTATGGGCCTTTGAATCAATCAGAAAACTTCTTTTTAAGAGTGAAGTTTATTGGCCATTTGCCCTTTATAGTTGTAATGCAAAGAGCCTGAAAGTCACTTATCAAAACTTAAATAAATCAGTTGCCATCAGAATTTTAGCTATGCTATCTCAATGCAATAGTCCCCGCCCCCCAATCCTTGATTTTGCTTTCTGTGGTTTCAGTTACTGCAGTTGCTGAAATCCGAAGATACCAAGTGGGAAATTCCAGAAATAAACAACTCAGTAAACAATTAATAAGTTATTAATTGTGCACCGTCCTGAGTGGCTTGATGAAATCTTGCACTGACCCACCCGGGGCATGACGCATCCCTTTGTCCCGTGTATCCACGTTGTCGACGCTCCCCACCCCTTAGTCACTTAGTAGCCAGCCACCTCTGCTATCAGACCAAGTGTCACAGTAGTTGTGTTGAAGTAACCCTTATTTTACTTAAGAATGGCCCCAAAGCACAAGGTAGTAATGCTGGCAGCTTGGATGTGTCAAAGAGAAGCTGTGAAGTGCTTTCTTTAAGTGAAAAGGTGAACATTCCCTAATTAATAAGGGAGTCTGGGTTCACAGGACTGTTATTGCAGTGTTGCTGCAGTTTTTCCTCTTTTATTTGTCGTTGCTAATCTCCTATTGTGCCCAACTTACAAGTTAAACTTGATCGTAGGTATGTATGCACGTACAGGAAAAACATAGTCTCTGTAGGGTTTGGTGCTTTCCACAGTGTCCCCCTTGGAACACGTTCCTGGCAGGTGACAGGGAGACTGCCATGTGCCTTTCTGTCTCTCTCTCTCTGCCTGTGTTGGTTCGTTGTTCCACAATCCTTGGTTGTAGTTTTTTTAACATACTGCATGTTTTAGAAGCAGACCTGTAACAACATTCCTGATGTCTTTAAATGTAGAATCAAGACAAAAAAATTTGAAGGCTTGTGTACTATGTGTACTGGGTACCAGGGAATCCAAAGAGATACAGAAATTATAAAAAAAAACAAACAAACTTTGCCTTAAATGACCTCATTAAAGAGATATGCTACTGTAAGATGTAAGAAACACACATAATTTTTATTTTTGTCACTGTTTACATTATAGCCAGCAGGAAAAATGTGTTTACCAATACACATTGTATATGAGATAAATGTACTGTTGTGATTTAATGCTAATCAGTTTACTACTTTAAAATTTGCAAAAGACAGAAAATACAGAAAAGAAGGTAAATTTCCTAGGCCATTCATCAGCTAATTCTAGTTAATCCATTTCTTCTGTTATCTAGACATTACAGGTCATTTATTCCATTTTTCATATGATGTTGCTTGTGGAGATCAGGTTTTTGTGTAAAAGTGTATTATTTTAATTTGAATAAAATGACATTGTTTTGATGATCAGATAACCATAATTACATTTTCTACAGTAACGAGCCATTCAATGTATAGGTACTATGTACATTTAAAAATATTTTTCCAGTTTCTTTTGATTCCTTTGGTGATATATATTATGCTACAAATTAACAAATCTATTATTTTTTCACTAGGACTCCCTAATCATTTGTGAATATTTTTAAAACCTAACATGTAATTCTGTGAGATAAAAGTCATTTTTATGTTGTTCATTTTTTCGACCTCAAGTCAATCCTGATAGTAGCATTGCAGATAATCTTGAGCATAATAAGAAAAATACTGCTTCTTAATTACTTCATCCATGCTAGCTGTAGCCATCACAGTTGGCAGCATTGGTAGTTAGGAAACGTTGAAAGTATTTTTTTAATGTTGGGATATAGTGACATTATTCTTTTTTTCCCCCAATTGTGCTAATATATAAAAATGTCATTGCCTCTCTACTTTCTTAAATCATTAAGGAAATTTGACAATACGGAATTCTGCTTTCCTTAAATTTTATGGTTTTGATGAGACAAAACTGAAATAAGTACGCCCATAATTTATGTTTTCGGTTTTGAAATCCGAAGTTCATAACTTTAATCCAAAGCAGACTCTGTGGTACATCCCCTGGTGCCTGTCTGAGAGTGGCCACAGACAGCCCCCTTTCTCTCTGGGGACTGTGAGAAGGCACTGCAGACCACCAGCCAGAGCTCCTCTGGGAAGTATTGTGGACTGCTGCTTTTGCTTTTAATATTTCTAAAACTTTTTTTATTAATCTTCAAAATTTATGTAGATCTGCTTTTGTCTGTTGAAATTCTCAGCCTTCCTAGAGTTTGGGGAATGCATTTCTTTTGTTATTTTTTTTTAATCCAAAGAAAGAAATATGTTATCAAATAGTGGGTGAGAATTTTCAAGGTTGTAGAGTTGTGTTGATTTGCATATTCCCTTTACTGTCTGATTTTCCCTGTGATAACACATCAGCAGGAAGCCAACTATTTTGCTGTAATCTTTTCATGTATATATTATTTCAGTGCCTCTGAAAGCCCAGAGCACACAATAAGACATTTGCATAACATATTTCAGTTTATCAGTGTGTATCCAAACTCTGTCTTTTAGTCTTTTATTTTTCTGGTTTTCTGTTACATGAATATCTGAACACTTATAATACAAAGATGCTTTCTTAGTGACTCAGGGTCTGTCTTACAGACCAACCACTTTATAGAATCCCAAAGACTATTTTTTCCCCTCTGGTTCTTTTTTGAATGTGTGCTTCCTGCTTATATTAATTCTTTTGAAATGGTCATTAGTTTTATGAAAATATTAAAAGAATTTCTCATATCCTAGCCCTCTTTTTGAACCGAGATGGATTCCCCAACATTGGTTCTCACAACCTTTTATCTTCAAACCTCATTCTTGGAATTGCTCAGTATATTTTCTAAGAAATTGTAAAAGAAGAAAGTAAACATTTATAATAACCTTAAGCACTTCATGCCTGTTCAAAACTTGCTTAACACCATTACTCATTTGAATCTCACCAGCTGACCTCCTGTGAGGTTAGATCTAGGTTTGCATCAGAACAACAAGGGTCCAGTGTGGAGAGATTGAGACCCATGGTCAGGACTTCCCAGGGCTCCATCCTCTGCCATTCCAGACCAGCTTTCTCACCTGTCCTTTACAGTGTCTTCCAGAAATTAGAACAGACTCAGAGAAGCAAGAGAAGCTGTTAAAGGTGGACAAGGGCCTGGAAGTAGAATGAAAATCCTGCCCTTTCAAGGACTTGAGACACCTCTTCTCTGCCGCTAAGCTCTTACTATTCTCATAGATAACAGTAGGCTTTGCCCATAATTCAGAGTTCCTGTATTGCTTATTTGATTTTGAACTATCTTAAAACAGTCTAAAATACAAATTTCCTTTGGATATTTCTCCTCTACTTGGTTTTAAAATGAAGCCATTCTGAAGTTACTCAGCTACAACCAAAGTTTGAATGTTCTCTTTAAAAGTGTGAAACATGTATTTTGTTCTACTTTAAAAACTCCAAGTGGGCTTTGGGAATTTTTTTCAGATAAAATTCAGCTTTAACGGGAAAACTGACTAAAATATGAGGAGAAAGAAAAATTGAACTCCAAAGGAAACTTTTAAGCAGTAGATAAAAATGAGAGCTTAGGTTAAGATATCCAGTCTCAGTTAGGCAAACTCTAACCCTCCTTCATTGACTCTTGATCAGCTTATGAAATCAGAAACTACATTTTGCTTCTCAGCCTTTGGTATACTTGTCTGTGATTCATGGCCTGATTAGCAAGGATATTCCTGAAAGACGCCCTACTTTTTCATGTTTAACCCCTTTTCCATTTCCTCTTCCCTTTGTTCATTCAGCCACCTGTCCTTATTTGAGACTCCTTCCCTCGCCCTTTTCATTGCTCACCATTTATGTTTCC